TATAAAGTGCAACTTTGTAACAGTGAGCAAAATACAGAAAGAAGTGTGCCAATGTTTGGGTAAATCTGAAATGCGCATAAAATTATTTTGTGATTTTTCACTAATTTTCAAATTTCCATTGTCTTTAAAGGAACATTGCAAAAGGCAAAAACGTTTTGAAACTAACATTTCTATCGCGTTATTAATTGACAAAAAAAATCACACAAATTCTTTGCACCCTTGGCCCCAGATAAGCATTTAATGATTCTCGTTAAGAAAAAGACCAAACTCTACTCTTGAGACCCAAGTTCAGGGGGTTCCCACCCATGAAAGAGAGGAAAATTGGAAATTATTTGGCTGTTTTTTGTATTTCCTTCCCGACATCCTGTATTTTAAACGATTTTTAATAGTTAGCTTTTGCCATTTACCATCATCTGAACTTTCTCTATGTGTGATTTATAAAGTCGTCATTTCTGTGTTTAATTAAGTCTTTGTGTACCAATCSAATCTTCTGTTTTACGCCCGTTYTTATCTTGTTCCAGCGCTTTCTTACTTTCATTTCATGTYTATGTGGAGTTTTCGGTAATTAAGTCGCWAGGTATTTAACGTTAAKTYGCCTCAAAATATCAAAATTATCTAGTGAATGTGTCTTTTATTCAGTCRACATGTAATTGTATGAATTTTCTGCCATTYTCTACGCTTGTCCAAACTCCAACTCACAGCTACCAGAAAACCCCCATAAAACTGGCGAACAACAGAACACATTTCATTCTATCAAACAATGCCGATGATTTAAACTCATGCATTAACATAATTTATGATCATTAATTAATTTGTTGACGTCGCTCTAACGGAAACTTAAATGATTTTCACTGGAGTACATTGAATCTATTCACATACAGTTTGATATATATCCAAAGGTTAAAGTTGATTCGCCTTCTGTCTAGTGCGATTGATTTATTTTGCATTGTCTTTGTCTGGTGTTTATAAACATTATTAATAAATAATTCAGCGGATGGAACATTAGCCAAATAGGTTTAGGTGAAAATTAGTCTAGTTTTCATTCATAAAATTGAGGGGGTAAAAATTGATCTTTACTTTTCGGCATACATTTTTAAAACTATGTCGTATTGAATAGAACTTATAGTTTTTTAGTCATTATAAATGTTATATTGGTTAAATAGGATGGGCAAATGTAGACATTTGTATATAGTTTATATATATACAATTATTTTACATATTATGTACATACAACAAATATATGTTTTTAAAGCAGTTTTGAAGAATCAATAAAACACACGAATTAAGGTATTTTTTTAAGCGCAAACGAGGCATTGAACATAGGAAATATGAAAATATCACACAATTATTTGATGCTCAGACAAAACGTGGCGAACGAACTTTTCCTTTATAAATATTTGGATACGTGCTCGTATGAACGCCACTGGTAAAGCTGAAACTATTATTTATACATAAAAAAGGCGCCAGTTATCTGCCAATGTGTAAGAAATTTAATTTTAATATCTCCACACGTTTCAAATATATTGATAAATTTCAATTTTTTGCTCCGTATTTTCGCACTTTGGATGAACCGAATTACGTGAATTACGTGAATAATACACCTACTTATCGACTAATCCTGTTTAGTTATCCACGTATAAGTTTAATAAATAATAATATTTTGTTGTTTTACCCGACATTTAATGAAAACAGTTTTATACGAAAAAAGTGGCTGTAAGTGTTTAAATTAAATGAAACATGTGAAGAAAAAACCCCATTAAACTCTCTTCCATAGTTGGAATTACCTGTGTAGCGAAAGGAAGTGAAAGTAAAAGTTTTTCCAAATTTTAAAGTCTCCAGGCATTTCCACATTACATATATGGCAGAGAATCATTTCCAGCCAACATTTCTTTCAAAATCGATTGTTGCTACACTTGTGGCTATTTTCATCGATGTAAATTTTGCAAGTTGAACCGCTAGAAACTTGGGAATTTGAACGGATTTTTAAATTATCAACCAATATTATACACTCAATGACTCAATAAGAGCTTCTTTATTTTTGGTCCACTCCTTTTAAAGAATCACTTCATGGTTATTTAATCCAGCCCTTAACTTATAAAAACGTCTTTATTTGCAACGAAGTTTAAAAATAAATAATGAAGAAAATTGGAAACGAGCTGTTTCTGGATATATAACATAAATTTAATACTTGCAAAATAATACAAGATATTATTGGCTAATTTTGGGTATGTGACCATCGCATGTATGTTACATTTTATGAATCGTTTTTGCTGTTCTCCTTAATGTTAGTATCAATTGAGCTCCTGTTGTATTTGTTAAATTTAAAACTGTTAATTCTCCACCCAACAGTGCCAAAAAACCCAAGCTAATACTATCCTTAAATAAATTTCACTGTATTTAATTGTTCCCACAAAATGCAGCATGCAATCTTATTACAGAACGAGTGCAATTTAAAAAAGTATATAACATTCCTTCCAGCAAAAACATGCAACACTGAAATGTTGAAAACAAAGGGTCGCGGTATCAGCGCAACAACAGGTTTCGAAAATGAAAGCTATTAAAGCCGATTTGATGGCAGAAAGCTGGCGTGTTAACGAACTGATTTGCATACCATTATTTAAGATGAAATTGTCTACCGCAAGCGAGAAACCATTTTAAATTTCAAAACTCGAATTGCGGTTTAAACGATCCATTAATTGCAACGACAACAAATTAACCACGCATTTTTTTTTAGTTTCCCATCCTCGTTTTAGCAGGTATTCAAGGTAATGTCAAGGCAAAGCTACCTGCATGAACGCCATAGTCCAGTGACCTTAAGTGCAATTTAAAACAAACACTTCCATTGAAATATTTCATTTTTAAATACAGGAACTGGTAGTAGGAATGTATATTCAAGATGCTTGCAATTTTGCTCTTTTTATGTTGTCTTTCAATGTTTAAGTATGTTTAAAATACTTAGAATAAGATTTAGCAGTTTGTAATACCCATACTTTTGTATAGAAACTACTCTTTTATAGCTTGGCGTTATTAATTGCTATGCAAAATTGTCAATGACATACAAAAACTGGTTATTATAGGCTAATAAACACTGACTGCTGTTCTTTACAGGAAGCCTACCTTATTATAGTCTACTGGCAGATAAATTAATCATCTGTATATAACATTAAATTAATTATCTCCAATTTCTATTGCATTATTTAAGATAATGCTGTTAAGAATAGATGTAATTAGGTGCACATATACAGAGTGGAGTCTTTGACTGTATGACAGCCTGCATGTTGAAAAAGTTAATATACAGAAGAATTACTGAATCTAGATTAATTTTATTAAGACAATCAAGAACATGAAGTGATAATTTTTTTTCATGGACTCAGATAGCATAGTTTGAAGCTCTCAAATTCGCTTTAAAATTTATATTTTTACTTAAATTTGCAACTAAACACTGTGACAACATGCACTGTTGAGAGTGAAAAAGAAATGCAGCATTTGACGATGTTAACATTGCAAAATACGTAAGAAATATTAAATTAATCAAAATTTTTCCTTAAAAAAAAGTCCTATTTCTGCCTACTTCCCTTCTTCATAATATAATCCATAGCAGATATCGATAGCATAGATAGCTCGAATGATACAGATTATGATCGAACGAATGTCTAACAAAATACACAATTCCACATTCAAAAGCTGTAAAATCCTATTAATCAGTTCCCAAAAAATATATTAATTAATCTGATTCACCGGCTGATCGAAATTAATTAGCTTGTTTGGTTGAACGGTAGAAAAAATCGACGTTTAAAAAATTGTGATTGTCCTTTTACGTAAAACTTGGGATGCAAAAATGGTACGTTTGCATTCTTTATAGCATTTCTCATTTTTCCTCCTACAAATAAGATTGTTAACAATTTAAATGTTTTCAGAAAAGGATCAATTAATCTCTCAATTCAGGGGACATTATAAAACATATTTAAGATTATTCAATATACGGAAATAATAAATAATTAGTACAAAAGCCGAACAAAAACACACGTTTTCAGCTGTTTTTCTCGTCTCCAAAATGGTAAAACGGTCTGAAGCAAATTCAAAATGTAAGGGTGCGTACCGACCTGACGAGCCGAACCTGAGCCGCGGCGAAATTCCTTTGATGTTTCTTCATAACACGGACAGAACATGGATCGTCTGTAGGAATTTGCCGCAGATCAGGTTTGGCTCGTTAGGTCTGAATGCGCCATAACACTTTTGGTAAACGGACCTTGTAAAAAGTTTGCTGCAATTTACCAATTATTTTTGCAGCAAACCGCAAAAATTAACATTTTGCTATTTTCAGGACCAGAAAATGATAAAAAATGGAAGTTTAATAAATCAAAAAATATGTATTTTCAACACTCTGTAAGTGCGCCATTTCAATTTTTTCACCTCTTTAATACTTCCAACTAGTTTGTAGGGGTCAAGATACAAAGGGTACACACCCTTTAAAATCGAACCCCAGTTTAAACAGGTTTAACAAAGAAACTTGAATAGGAGTGAAGTTTTCTACAGTAGGGTTAATAAGTAAACTTGGTCACGCAATGACTTAATGTCTTCCCACGTTTACTGCATGTAAAACCGTGCAATAACATACTTTTCCTTTTCAGAATTAATTAAAAAACTCTACTTTCAATCACGCTCCACGTCGAGAAAATTATTTACGTTTGTGTAAAAAATTTTCTTGTCTAAATTCAAGCAAAAGGCGCTTCTCCTTAATATGTCCATCGTGTAAACGTAACCGGCAAACATTCCAAATGCCATCGTGCGTAAAATATATACACGATGAATCCAGGCCAAAAACGAATGCAATCATTTTTCCATGTATTGCAAAAAGTCTACTTCTTAGTTAAATTGCACACATATCTCTGTGTGCGATTCTTCATTTGTTGTAACCCAGTATAAACGAATGATCTACTTTCTTGCGCTGGATTGATATATGTATGAATATATCTCGTCATAAGCATTTAGCCACTTACCTTTGTTCTTTTCGAGGTGATTTGAATAAGACTAGATTTTCCATCAATCAGGATGTTATCGTTGATGAAGGTCACGTCGCAAGGACTGGGAGGACGCGCTTCCAAAGAACGAATCAATTCATCTTCCTCCCAAACGTCCTGGAAGCCGGTGAGAAGAGCATCGGGCAAAAGCTTAATACCTGGTTCATCCGGCTGCAAAAAAACAATGTTTCAAAATTTTTGAAAAAACAAACAAACAATACACATTAGTAGACATCGAGGTCAATAACTAAACAAATACTTGATGACATAAAAACGACTTTCGAGAGCAACTTTCGAACAGTGTCTAAAGAAAATCGTGTTAAGAGCCACTAACGAACTTTGCAATAGCTACTTACATACCATGTTACACTAAAGAATCGGAAACAAATTGATGAACTCGCGCAAGTAGTTGTGTTATTCAACTGTTAAAATAAATCTATGGACCACCATGTTATCAATTAAGATACAAAAATGTTTGTTTTGCACTTGAGTGCTTACAATTACTGTTTATGATCTACTCAGCAAATTAATTGCGTATCATTAGAAGAACAAGTATGAATGTTGGCATTTATTTTTCTTAATGTAGATCTTCGTCTTGTAATAACATGAATTTAGTTGAACTTATCATTATTGTTTTATTGCTTCACAATACAAAACAATATACAGGAAAGTTCATAAACCCATAATTTCAAGCAACTTACGTACTTTCAAGTTAACTAGAAAATGAATAATTCTTAGTGACAAACTGGTAACATTGCTCTTTCGTAGAATGGGTTCAAGGTATGAGTTATTTTGAAAACTGCAACAAAATCCATTAGGCACCTGAGCAAAACAATGGCTAATATAAAACAATAACATTATTGTTCTCTGAACTAGCCGTAATAGTGCTTTTTAGAATTGCCATATTGCAAGTAGTAGGTATGTTGTAACGATCAACAGTTTTGCTGTTTCATTCATGGAATTAGTGGCGTTGGAGATGGACGATCATTGGCTTCAACTTCAACAACGCATGCACAAAATGCAGCGTTTATCTTAGTTCTCTAAGCAAAAAATACACGGACGAAACAGATAACATTGACCAAGCAGTTCCCAATAGCGTCGCACCTTTTAACTCAGTTAATTGACTTGAGATGCCGTAAGAAACTACCGTTAAACAGCATGTTCCTTTTTACAGTATTAACGACTAATGTGTACGAACAGTAGTTTATTATTGCAGAATGTCATTGCTAGGAATGTCGAACGAAATATATCACTCGATATTTACCATGCGATGTAAATAGCATAATTAGTGAAACAATTTTCAAGTACAAGTAGACCTAAGTGTTTCATTAATATTTTGACTAGTCACTTTATTAGTGGATGGTGATTGGTAATTTTCTGTGCAACGTTGCTATTACTTTTGCGAAAAAACGTCTATAGGAAAATTGTTTTTCTGCTAGTCAGTAACAATGTGGTGCATAAGAGCAAGAACTAACGCTCCATATTTTCTTTGGAAACATTAAGTCAGGCCTAAAGTATTCTAAATTATAGTATTTATAAATCAAAAGATATTCCTATAACTAAACGAGAAATATAGTTTATTATTAATTGTTCATTGTGAGCCAAAAACTAAAATACTTAAGTACTTACTTGCATAATCATTCGAAAATAACAATTAAAAAATATATATACTTAGATTAAACTTATTTCAATTATTTTTACAAGTAGGTTGTAATCAAAAATATAAATGTGTCTCTCTCGACAACAATGAATCGATTAAAGTTTCGATTTTGCCCAAAACCAAAGAATCAAAAATCAAAAAAGTGATTGAATAAATTCGGGGTGTTCCATACGTACGTATGATGAAAATGGTACTGCAACACGTTTTGGATCAAAGTAAGAATTATTTTCAGTTATATTTTAATAGATTTTTAATTATAATTAACGGCTGTTTGGAGAGTACAACATAAATAAAAATATGAAATGTTTTAACTATCGGCAATAGTCTAAATTTGCATAATGACCACATTCAGGAAATATACCAGGTGTATATTTAAGTATCATAAGCACATGATGTCTGGCTCCAAACAAGACGAATCTGATTGTTTTTGTTAAGAAAAATGTATCACTCCTTTGCTATTGCTGGTCAAAGATGCCCCAAAAAATTTATTTTCATGAAATATAGGAAGAATGTTTCGATCGATTTTAATGAAGCTTTCGCTTCCAACGGCTTTGAGCAAATCATAAATTCGTGCGTGCCTTTGTGGTACAAACATTGCTATAACTTTTTACTTGTTAGCTGGAAGCACTTCAACAATTTTTTTTGGATGCATTAAACTCGACTCGATATTTTTAGCAAACAATTAACTGATTTCACCTGCCAACGAAACAGTTTTGCAAGTTTTTGTACCAAAACACTAAAAAATTTACCACTTGCCTAATGAAAATGAGTGCAGCGCGCCCTATATAGAAACAAATTCAAGATTAATTAAAATCAATCTTAGCGTTCTCCCGATATTACAATAAACATACATTTTTAAAAAGATTTTTTACTTTTTCCTTGATACGTTAGCTCAGAGCTCAGATCGTCTTTTTTGGGCCACAGACTGTCRCACTACCATTTTGATCATGTGYATGGAACATCTMGTTGTTGTCCAAATTTAGATTAATTATACTTCCTCTCCAAAAAGCCGCTTTTAATGATACTAAAYCCATTAAAATATGAATGAAAATTATTTAATTGCCTGGAAATAAAAATACCAACAATACCCAACAAGTGCTTGGTAAAATCGCCGGTCGATTTCTAATCGGTTTCCAAACGATAAAGAATAAATTGTAAATCGAATTCCGATAACGATGCTGCAAATGTTGCTCAATTTTCTTGGAACAATAGATTTAAAAAAATTGGCAAAACAATAAAAAAAACTGGTTTATAAATGGCAATTTTTCCATTCCGAAACAATCTAGGCGATAACACAGCAACGAAATTAATGAAACGAAACTTTTACAATGCTGTGTTTCGGCTTGATTAAAATCTAAAAACCCAAGTGAAAGCAATTACTACTACAAACTTATAGTCGGCAGTTCAAGTATAAAATCAGATTAGATAATTAGGTAAATATATTTCAAGCGAGTGAATTGTTGTTGTCGATCGATCGGGGAAACAAACAATTAAATTCGGATTTCCAAATTTCGTTACGGCCCATTTTACGGATTAAGTTTCTATTATTTTTGCGGGACAACGATGGTGAGAGCGACAGCCGGAAATTACCTATTTAGATGTTGATATTGATATTAAAATGGGTCAAAACTAGATGAAAATGGTAATAGAAATCCCAAAATCCAAAGAAAGCGGACATTAGAGATTTGGATGAAAATTAAATTGATTTGCTTACTTTTGATTGATTCATATCTACTGTGCAAATTTTGGAACACAACTAGGTTGGTCGCCAGCTGGAATAATGCTATCAAAATAATTGAAGTTGGATTAAACGATAATGATTAATTAAAAGCCTAGTATTAAGAGATAATCAAAAAATAACTCTTTTATACTATAACATTCTCACATTGTCAATAATGCAAAGTGAAATTCAACTTCGAAATATTACTTAATGGAATTTTACGCTATTTTTGCGTATATGATCATTAAAGTGTTTTGCAATGGGGAATTTCATTGTTAAACTCCTTTACTTCACAATAAGTGGCCAATTACCTACTTAATTCAACTAATTAGATGTTGCTCAATATGTTCGATTGTCACCTTAAATATTATCGGCTTTGACTTTGGACGCAAAACTGTAGCATAATTTTCTTATCCACGTCGCCGTTCTACTTGCACTGGATTTACTGAACAATTACTACGCCTTTTATAGAGCAATTTCTATTCAACGACATTCCAAAGCAATCGATGGCAATTGATTTAATAATTAAATTTAACTACTAAATTAGACCTTAATGTTATCTGTCCATCAGTAGAAATTAGTAATAAGTGCTTCTGCAAATATTTCCTTACTTTCTCAAGAAAGCGCGCCTAAAGCCGGTTGAAACACATTAAATGTTTACCTACTGTTGACCAGATTTCTTAGTTTAATAGCGATTAACATATTGTGGACAAATGCGTTCGATTTACGAAAACATTAGGCAAATATGCGCGCTTAGGAGTTGAAAATGTAAAGATTTTTTATCTTTATTAAACTGGTCTTGTTAATTATCAATTGTTGTTACCAAATCTCTATTACTTAATATACCTGATTGCTTAAACGAATTTTGTACCGACCAACATGTATCCATTCGATTATCTTACGAAGTGTAATCAGCTCTGATTGAATTTAGTGAACACTTTTGCTACGTAATAAAGAATGTTGTTTATAAACTCACCTTAGGAATTACAGGTCTGCTAGCGGTCCGACTCGTATCATTAGAGATGTAATCTGGCACATCTTTTCTAGTCGTAAAGTTAAATACTGCACTAGTTGCTTCTTCTTTCCTGGGCTTTGGTTTCTTAGGCAGCACTATTTTGATCGGTTTATTATCACTAATTTCGGATGTCACTGCACTGTTTTTGTTACTGGCACTTTGCACACTCTTAACAGTTTCGGATAATTTCACGAGATCTACTTTGGTTTTGCTCACTTCCTCGTCACTTTTTTTCATTCGGGTGTCAGGCAGATTTCCGGATCCCACAACATCGAGTGATTCAACTTCCTGCTTAGGCTTATCAGTGGTTTCCACTTGCTCCGATTCTTCTGTGTAATTTTGCGATGAATCGGTGCCACTTGAGATGTTCGGCGTCTTGTTCAGCTTGTAAGATGGTTCAAACCAGCTTGGAGCAGTTTTATTGCTTTTGCCAAGGTTTTCGAAAATACTGCTCGTCTTGCCGACGCTTTTGCCTAAGTTGTGCTTGCTTTTGTGATTGTCAGTTTTTTCAAACTCAACCACATCCCCTTGAACTCTAGAATTGTCTGCACTTCTGCTCCGACTAGGCTCCAAATCACTGATATTTTCAAGGCTTTCACTACGATGTTCCACTGAATCCTCCACTAGTTCTTGAGCACCATTTTCTATACCCGATTTTGCAGAATTTTTCAGGTTTTTTTCCATTTCAAATGCAGATAAGCCCATTTTAATTTTACTGGTACCGAAACCATTATATTCGCTTTTGGGTGGTTCTGAAATCGGACTCCTATTCTGCTTTACAGTGGAAGGTAAGTGTCTCTGATCAACTTGTGCGTTCATAAAGTTATAGACTGATGTGGCTGAGCTCTTGGTGATGTTGCTTTGTGAGATAGGAGAAATCATTTTTATCCCAAATGTATCCGACTCGTCCCGGTTGAAAACTAATGAAGTGGGCTTTGAAGGACTGTGAACTGGACTGATGATATGCCTGAAAATGTTTATGATTCCTGTGACTGTCGAATAGGGGCTGATTTTGTACTTCAACTCACGTGTTTGTGGCTTCGGGGTGGTTCTGAGCAGACCGTTTCCGCTCCTCCTTGATGAAATTCTCGGTGCTTCTTCTGCGGTAAGTGGGAGAGGTAATTTTTGGCAAAGGACTTGAGGTTAATATTAAATCGGGTGTTTCACATAGTAAATTTGAGCTTCTTGAATCACTTCCATCAGCACTTTTGATGTCGACTCTGCAACAGGTATTTCAGCAATGCAAAAACCTACACGGAAAAATTCAGTTGAATTACCTGGAAACATCAGGAATGGGACTAGGCAAACTGTTAAACCCTTTTTTCTCCTGCCTGGGAGAACTAAGATTCAGGGTTTTGGGCTTTAACATTTCTTCGCTTAAAATTACTGGTTTGGCCACCGGCCGAACGTGATGAGTATTACTTTTACATCTATCATTTAGTACTGGTTTTGTGGATTTTATCGTTGGTTTCGTCGACTTCAAAGCTACTTTTGTCTTAACTATGATATCGTTGAAACTATCTACTTTGGCAGCCACGTCGCCTACAAAGAGAGTATTTATCGTAAATTTCGAGCTGTTAATAAACGAATTTGTTTTACAATGCCCAGTGCCTAGTTAGTGACGATTGTTTGCTTTCTAAGCTCTGGTAAAGTTGGGTAGTAAATATCAATAATCAAGAGTTCAGATTCAGTTGATTACACAATAAAATCCAAATTTTGAAACTTTAAGCCATTTCAGTGTACTTTTTTAAACCATGGGTGTAAAAATAATCTAACAGTAACGAGTTTTTAAAATTAAACAAACGCTTTGGCTGGAAAGTAATTTGTGGTACGCAATATTCAACTGGCAATACTCTAAGAGATACAAGCTTAAGTGCTCTGTGATTAAAACTAACTTCTGCGGCCTTTTGGGGTTTTGATAATTTTCTTTATTAAAACCACATATCTATGAGATAAAATACATATTTCAAGGGGCGTTAAACCCGATAAACTGCGACAATATTCGAATAAAAAGATCATCCATTTTCTACATTTACTATATATTTGATGCAGTAATAATATTGTTGTGCTCAGATAAAGGTTTCTGATAATTTAGTCTGCTGCTTATTTATGTTTGACAATGTGATTAATCCAAACAAAAATTTCTGGTCTTGATACTTTATAGATTTTACATATTTTGAGACAGTGGAGAGAAAAAAATGTAAAACTAAACAAAGAAGGCAGGACACAACACAGATCCACACCGAACGATCGTGCACCAACGACCAACGTGTTACTTTGCTATTATCAATTAGAAGCAGTGATAATTAAACAAACTCTAGAATTAAATCGGACAGAAATTATAAACGAATGTTAGTAATGCGATTAATCAACACGTATGTACTGATTGACTTTTACCGTTTGGTAGAGGCTTTACAAGTTTTACAGATTTCCATGGAGGTTTTGCAGCTAATTTAGTTTTAACGATCATGCTGTTAAAACTGTTAACTTTAGCTGCAACTTCGCCTGAAAGTATAATAAGAAACTTGTTACAGCATTCGATGCAAGCGCTCTACATCAACTCCCTGCTGAAGTCGTTCTATAACAGCAATTCGCTCTAAGACAAGACCCTATTTTAACTAAAGCCTCTTACCAGTATGATGAGGTTTCTTGGTTCGTGTTTCCGGTCGTTTCTCGAAAATCATCTTGGCATGTTTGACCACATCAACCGGCGGCTTTTCTCGCTCGTTGAGTAATGGAGGAATCCGTTTCGGCCTGTTTATTCTTCGGCTGTATTTATCGGTCTCTTCGATGTTGTTTTCAATTGCTACTGATTTTTTGTATGGCCTGTAAACAAAGTTTAATTTCGTAACACCTAAACTTACACGCAAGTAATTTTTTTCTGGAAATATTTAAAAAACGCTCTTGTTTTGGTGACCGATTTAATTTAAATCCACGATATATTAAGCAGGAATAAAAATTACTCTGTGCTTTAAGTGAATACAAATTAATTCAGTATTTAATGTTTAAGTTTTGTTAAAGTATTCACAAAATATTTCTTTTAGACCCGAAATTGCGCGACTCAATTTTTACCTGGCATCTTCTATTAAAACAGCCATTTCTTCATTTTTTACATTGAGCATATCTTCATGAAGTGACTGTCTGTTGTTGATCTTCGTTGTAACTGATGTCATAGACAGTTCTTCATCGTAATGATTAGTTCGCGATATGACTTCAACTGAACGAGCTCGTTTCATTTCTTGGCGACGAGTGGCTGATCTGTATCGATTGCCTGTAAAGATTGCACATTTTCAGGAAAAAAACATTAACAACACAATGTTTTGCCTCAAAATGTTCAGCTTTGGAGGTAAAATATGTTTGCAAATCGCTGGAGTAGACCACACTAATGGAGATGTTCGAATAAGTCCATTTTTGTCGATTTACCGAAAATTTTGTTTGCTTATCTTTCTTCCTCCTATTCAGCTGAGCCGGTGTATAGAGTACAGATTGAAAACAAAGATCAATTTTTATCCCAAATAAAAATACCAAGCGAGCACAGCGAAACTTGCGAGCGACAACTCATATTTTCTTTTTTTAGTTCTTATCAATGATAATTCATAAGCTTTCAATTCACTTTTAGTTAGAATATTAATTTTATTTTTATTAATTAATTAAGATAAAACTAGGTACTTAATATTTATAGATAAAGTACGTAACATATATTTTCTTAGAACAGTCGATTATTTTATGATAATATTGTTTATCTTTTTAATACAAAATTATATTTTTACCATCGATTGCAAACATCCTGTATGCATAGACTTATAACTTAGAACATGAAAACAAGGGCTTAAGCGGTCTACAGTTGGTAAGTAGTTGTGAAGGAAAGAGCTAATACCTACCAATAAAAAAATTGTTCTCGAAACATTTTATCCATTTTCTGTACAATTCACGTGGACATAAGACCAAACCGCAAGAAGCCAGGACGTGTAGAAAAACTTGATAAAAACAAAACAGCGGGAGACGTTTTGAAAAGGTAAGAATTTGAGCAACTTTGAAAATAAAAAAAAAACGAAATCAATTGAATAATCATTTAGAAAAACCACAAACAACATCAAGTAGAGTATCTAGAATAATAAATAAGAAACATCTACATAAAAAGCAGTTGACCAAATGTATTTCCTAGTCTTCTTGTTTTTAATACGTTTCTTTGTTCCAGTTTATGTCTTGCGTATATTTTGTATAGGTACTAGCATAATATGAACTAATAAATAAGCAACATTTAATAAAATGAAACATATTTCCAATTGAGCTTGTTTAGCCCACGTCCAGGCCGCATAAAAAGCGACGGATTAGCACTACGACAGTCTGAAGAAGAATCAATGAGAATAAGAAAGAAGAAACCATTTTCAAACAGGGATTAATAATATTTATGAAACAAAGTACAATTGTGGTCAACTTGAGACAGTTTTCAGTGAGTTTGAGTTCAGGAAAATCCAAGTATTCTCAAAATGAGTTTTGGGGCATTTCGGTTCACAGAGTTCTAAAGTGTATTTCAATGATCCCGATTCTTTCTACGCTTCTATAAGGAAAAATTGTACAGAATTTGAGGCATTTTCGATTTAAGTTTTGTGGAAAAAACAGACCAACTTTTGAGCGCGTCTTTTTTGGCTCAATGACTAGGTTTCGTCATAATAAGCTAGTCAGTAGACATATACAGGGTGGTTGCCTTCAGAATTGAGCGAAAATCGGAACTGCTAAAAAAAAATTCTAATATTTGCTAATTATTAAATTGAAAAAATATCTATTTTTTTTCGGATCAGATACTTATGGCCTATACCTCGTTACTCCTCATGATCTTGCCAAGAAGAAAATATGTAAAATTCCAGACATCTCATTTTTTTAGAAAACCATGCTTAACCGGTAGGTAATTCGTAAACTTTTTGGCCAAAAATGGAACTTTTTCTTGTGTGCTTTTTCAGCTCAATGGATTGTATTCGACCGAGAAAAATTATCAATATGCAACTTATATAGAGTGTTTGAGCTCAGAATAGAATGGATATGGTCGATTAAGGATCGAAACTGCCAACAGGCCAACATTTCCGTTTATTTAGGTCTAAAGTGTATATTTGGGACTATCGCTTTCCTGCTATGAAAATTTGAATGGGGTTTTTTTCGAAAAAATATTAAACTGGTAACAACTGAAATATTTATATTCTATTGTATACAATGTATAGTATAAGAATTAAAAAGGTCTCAACGACGCATATACAGGGTGTTTGGGTTTAGAATAGAGTGAATACCGTCGGTTAAAGATCTAAACCGCGCAAAATAGGCCAGTGTTTTCGGTTCCAATCAGAATTGTCTAACGTATTTATTCGGAATCTTGTTGAATCCTTCGCTTGCTTGCGTTGAAAATGAAAAAACTTTAATGCATTTTAGAGTATTTGATTGTTTTTTACAAAATGTTAAACCGGTATCGAACATGTGAAATTTTCGGTCAAAAATCGAAATTTTACATGCGTGCTTTTTGGCTCAATAGCCCAAGAGGTTCGCCGGTATGCGTATACAGGGTGTTTGAATTCAGATGAGAGCGGATCTCTTCGGTAAAAATTTTAAACTGCAATTGGGCCAGTATTTTCTGCTATTTCCATTCGCCACTTGCGATGAAATGATGTGGAATTCGAGGCACTTGAGTTTCTTTTTTCATGTTAAACAGGAATTCGACTAACAAAAAACTAAGTTTCACATCAGATGAAAGAATTATCAGTGTTCAGATAATGTGCTCATATCAGACATTCTCCTTCATTTCCATCGAATAAAAAAACATACATGGGAGATCAGTATCAATACTTGAACAATATTAACCAGGCATTTATCTATTGAGCTTCACTTACTTCCTTCATTGCCACCACTCCGACGGGTAAACAACTCCTCTTTTTCACTTTCGCGGTCGCCATCATCATCAAGAAGATTCTCCAAACTGGTGGCTTTCCTCAAAATAGTGGGTCTAGCGTTGCTTTCCCTTAGAGCCAGACTCAGGTATTTATTTCGCAAGCGATTCACTATGCCGGGACCATAGTGAAGATCCTCCGAGTCCGAGGATCCTGCCGAATCCAGATCTTTGCCAAAGCCATTTTCCGGCGACATTGAACAAACCAAATCTGTCCTTGCAGAGTGATGATGAGGCGGGTGATGTTCGGTCCAAAGGCGTTCCTGCAACAAAATGATCTCTCTCAAGTCAACTATCTGGTCTGACTTAATGTAAATTTAATGTAAAAACAAACGGAAATAATTAACTCATCGACATAGCTACAATACGGTACAACCGGTGTCAGATGTGCTTTATGACCGTACCAAAACCAGTGAAGCATCAGACTTTAGAACGTTAAGAATGAAATCATATTTTTATATAGCGTGCCCTTGTTTAGACATAGATTAATTCTTTTTGAAACAGTTAGAAATGTCTAATTGACGAACCGCTGCTTAAAGTGATTTCACTCATAATAGATATTTCGTGTTAGTATTTCGCAAATGTAATTCATCCTTGGAAGAAACTAAGAAATGTAACAGAACAGCTTGGTGTCAAAGCACCAAGCTTCAAAAAATAGTGATTTTAATTAGTTTTTTTTTGGAAAGGTATTGAGTTGGCACGATTAAACACGAGTAATGGGAAGCGCAATTCCTTAGAGAATTGAACAAAGCTGAACGACCGCACTGTATTTTCCTGATATTATAATATATCGCCAGCAGCAGGATTTTAACTTTGACCAAGAAAACTAGACATTGTTTAAGCATCCTGCACAATGTGTTTGTTACATAGCTTATAACTGAAATGCTGTCCAAGAATATTGGATGGATATCATGATTGGATAAAAAAATTGTCCAAATTGGTTTGCCGATATTTAATCTATGCGTTAAAATTGCGGCATTTTATTGGATTTTTAATTTGTTAATTAATAGCATTAAATTCACTGTAGGTGTGCAAATCAGTAGAAAAGTTAAAATTTCGCTTTGCTCAATTGCAAACAACTAAGAGAAATTCGGGTTGGAATCGATCAAACTTGGTAAACATTTCTCCACGGCTTTTCTGAAACTTTCGGGTTTTACATCTTTAGAAACAGTGACAAAACAGCTCTGGAAATAGCTGTAAAATCTTTATGATGCAAAAAATCCATATCCCTCGACAATATGATGCTGATTGAAGATGTAATTAAGCTTTTACCCAGTTCCATTTAGCGCAACTAATAACAATGTAATTATTTATTGCTTTAGTTACTTCGCCGACTTATATACCGATTTTTACAATTTATGAACCGGCGACAGTCGACCTTTCAAGGACTGCAAACAAATGGGTAATTATTATTCAAAGTGCATAATGATATGCTATTATTACGTGATAAAGCCACTTTTACATTTGAACGTTTCCTGAACTCAATATGAGGTCGATGCTATAGAAAAATGAACATGACGGCGGGTAATAACAATAAATAGTTACACGCAATTGTAAAATACAATTGGTCGTTTAAAGACATTTTTTAATTTGAAATTCATGTTGTAGTAAAAGTAAAGGTGAAATTCAAAATATTTACATTCAAATACGCATCTTATTGATGACAAATGTATTCAACGAAACAACCGAACCGTCATGTCCATTCTTCAATTTTCATTTTTATGGTTTCTGCAACGACGGTTTACTTTCCTGGCTGTAATCTTGTCGTTGTTTAAAATTGAGGTGAAAGTAAATAATGAGAAATAAATATGAAGCATTCAGGTTAAATACCTGAAGAATAATTTTCGTGGTATTAAAAATAATGTATTTTAATCGATTTATAATTAGGCAATTCCAAAGCTTTCCGAACAAATATTTCTCATGGCGAATGATCAGTGAGATTTCGGAATTTACACAACTTCTGGGGTTTCAAAATATCCTAGGAAGAAATTCCACTGAAAACAGAAGATTGCATCAATGCATTTTATATAAAGACTAAGCTCACTAAATTCGAGATCGAATTAACAATTGTCACAAAAATCATCAAAGATCGACAGAAAATCCCAAAAAACAAAATTTTCAACGTCGGTTTATGATTTTATTTAAATCGTTTGAAAGAATTATTAGACCAAGTTCCTTTGGAAATTTGACCGCGTATTATCTTGCGCCTCATTTTTCTCTTTTCCACCGAGATCACCGCATCCTTCTAGACTTTTTTGTTAGTTTCTTAATTACAATAAATCAAAATATCTTTGAAACTACTAAAAATTTGACTTTAATTGCCTACACATAAGTATCTGTAAAACTTGTCTATTACCTCCAGAATCATCCTGTATCAGCATTTTTGGATATTGAACTTAACATAAAGAAAAAGAAAAGTTTTATTTATATATAAACATAACAAATAAATAATATTGTGAAAGACTAGAAGAAAATATGACTAAATGAAATAAAAAAAGAAAGACAAATTAAATGATTGAATTATCTAGAAATAGAATAAGTACTTTAACATATTCATTTAAGATTGGAAATTGGACCATTGAAAATTAAATTCAAAATATTTTTTTACTACTTAACAGTTGTTAAATGCAAGTCGCGGTTGAAATTATTAAAAACAATTTTTAACAATGGCTGAAATAATGCCTCAGCAGAAATGAGAGTAAGTTTCCAAACAGTGCTCGTATAAAATAATTAAAACAGCTAAGATTAAAAACAGTTGAAGAGAAAAAATTGTAAAAATAAGTACCTAATGAGTAATAAAAGTTGTTCGAATTACCATTTCCTACTCACAGAACCAGCACTTCCAGTATCATTATGCATGCAATTGAATGGAAGCTTCCTGTGATAATTGATAAATGTACCATATTTATTTAGCTTGGTTATATTCTAGGTTATTCCAATAACTTTTATCTGAGCAACGACATTTTAGACCAAAATGTCGTTGCTCTGATAAAAGATTTGCTTCATTGGGTGGAAAATCGATACACGAAAAATCCATCAGCTTATGTTGCCTTAGGGGGAAATATTACATGACTTTCGAAATCATCAATGATTCATAGCTGATAGGAAAAAGTTGGAATTTGAACAGTGTTAATTCAATTTTTGCGAGTTTTTTTAGTTGCATGATACTCGAGTAATGAGCAATTAATCAGATCTGTTATTAAACAACAAACATTGCTAAATTTCTATATTAAATCGCCTGAAAACATGTCGAATAAAAAATATAAAAATCAGAAAACTTTTTAATCAATTTTTTTTACCATTGCCACTAATCAGCACCGAACTAAAGTATTGCTTGATGATCAAACGGAAATTCAAAAAATCCTACCTGAACCATTTCGGTATAGTCTCCAAAAATCAATAATCCAAATAAAAATAGGCAGGTATCATGTATCCAAACTTCACCCGCAAACACCCTCACATGCCGTTTTTTGGACAAAAAAAACAGTTCACAAACCGACTAGAGACTGTCCAAACGCGGAGAGACAACGAAAAATGTGATCAAGTGTACGACTCGGTTACCGCGTACCTCCAGTGGTTCGGGTACCAGTTTGGTTGGCTGGTTCTCCGGAAAACTGAACTGGGTTCTGCTTCGGATGACCGCAAACGCTAGCCAATGTTGTCGAGTTTATTCTACTGTGTTTTAGTGATAGCGGTACTTATGTTTTATGGGAAACCAATTTTTATCTAACGACGTCGTTTGGCTGGATTAGTAACAAAAACATACTTGCCTATTACATTCCAGTTTATAGCTATTCTCACATTAAGGTTTTATATCAGGCCACCTTGCTACATGGCAGAAAAGTATACTTGCTAGAAATTAACAAACTTTCGAGCCCATTCTTACAATTTTCTTTTCATTTTCCTAAACCATAACGATCAAGCGTTTTCTGAGTAAGTACTGTTCAATATTTGAACGTTGTATGTTGTACCATCCAAGCATATACTGTCTTTTATATAGGAATACAAATATAGGATTGGTACTTCCAAAGTAATTCTTCACCAGAAAAACTTATTAAACATAAAAATATATGTATACAATCGCTATGATCCCAGTTGTATTAATTCAATTCCTTCCTGACATTTCTTCAGTATTAGATGTTGGCATCATCAGAGGTAGTTGCTTTAAAGCGCCCTAAATTCATCTATCAGTTCAGTATGAACAAAAATCTGTTTTATGTTTAACGAGTTGAATTATAAACTATAATGAATCAATTGTATCACTTCCGGTTTACATTAAATAGCTTATTGTTAAGGATCAGTTATCGCAATGAGTTGAAATTGCCTTAAAGATTGTTAGGTTTATAAACTATTACTTTTTTCAAAACTTGTGCAGTTTTTTATTGTGTAAAAGCACTAATCTTGGCATCATTGGCTAGTGCATCAGCAGTTGTTGTCGCGTTGATTATCAGGTTGATGAACGCATCATCAAACCTTGCTGAATTCCTTTTAGTAAATAAATTAACTGGAATAAACAAAACTGGTTTTTGGATGTCAAGGAACCAAATTTATTAACGTTCAATTACCTGCATTATTTATTAATAGTACCAGACAAAAAAAGGAAATGATACTGTAGAATTAAACTTATCAGTCTGCATACAAACTAAGTTAGTAGTAAGAGTATTTTCGCTGCAAGTCGAGGAGCAAGTTTTAAAATGATTTTCGTCCAGTATCTTCAACACTGACAATTTGAAGTACCTACACAAAGAAAAATCTTTGATTCCATTTCACATTGAATTTATTTTACATCTTATTAAAAGCTGTTTGCATCTCTTATAATACATACATTGAATAAACTAGTTGTTACACCCTTGTTTTACCACATACCTACTTACCAGTAGCTAACCATTTCAAACCATTTTTATTACTGTTATTTGTAATACATTTTTGCATCATTCTCCAGGTGATTTTTCTGCTAATAGTAATCTTGGCATAACTAAAGCGAGATTATTTTCCTTGGTCTTCAATTAATATTCGTATTTTCAACTGCGGCTTCATGGTCAGAGAGTATAAGAAGAAAGTCGGCAGCAGGGATTGCAATTGGTAATTAATATTAAATTAATAACATATTTGTATGGTATGCAAACCTGTTTTCATCGGCAAAATCAGCTGCCTTAAATCGATTTTACAAATGTCGATTTGCATTTTCTTATTTGCTTTTTTATAAATAACAACCATCGCTAAAACCTTTTTAAAATCTTACTGTTAATTCGTCAAATTGGGACAATAGCCGAAGGTTACAAATATTTCATTTCTTCCTTTGTGCAAGCAGATTCAATTATTTTATACAGAGTGTACCAGTATTTAGAACTGAACTGGCAATTTCAAATGTACTAATAATTATATGAGTGCGCTCTATGCTTAAAAATAGTTAAGAACTGTGTAAAACTTATTAAGTAAGCAACATTTTCAAATAATCTTTACAGACTAGGATATTGCTATTGGTTTAAAATTATCCATCATTTCTTACTTAACATTGTTACTTAGATCCAGAAAGTTCGATTTAAAAAAATTATGTGATACTTAAACAAAATAACTCAATCTACAAATTTGTTCAACCTGTGCCCATCTTCAAACTTTTTGAAAAACAGAAAACACCTTTTTCTTTTCTAAAGTAGGTATTGCGTTTGTTACTTGAAAACAATAAAGATGTTGAAGATTATGGAGGAGCAAATACAACAACTAAAAAGTGTCGAATAAAACTAAATAATCAGTAAGCTAATAAATACAAAAAATATATATTATCGAGTGGAGAAACATCTCTACAGTGTCATGTATTAACACGATTCGATTTTAAAACGAAAACCTATTGAAAAAATAACATGATGTTAAAAGTCGTTATATTATTTTCTTGATCCATTCGGAGAGATAATAAAGCTCGTTCAATTTCAATAAATAACACCTACATCGCAAAGATTAAGCACTTAATCCAAAACAAACGCTTATGTAATCGCGTAAGTGAAATTTTCTGAAAGTGGGTCTTTGCGAACATTCTACAATGTCCATATTGGCAACTTGAGGCATTTATTAATAGGAATGCAATATTGTATTCGCAAAATTTAATGGCGTTGCAATAGCAAAAACACATGTATTTCACTTATTGAAATTAGAATTTTATCAGTTAACATACATTTCTACTTACATAAAAGTGAAGATGCATGCATGATATGAGTAAACTTAAAAAAGCGATTATAATTTGGATAAAATATCACAGGCTTCTAGCATAATCCCACGCTTGGTAAATTATGAACATTGTAGGTGGGACAAGGCATTATCATTGTTTTCGGATCACTTATATGGTCCAAATATAAAAATTGAATAAGTGAATGCTAGTAAATGCTCGTAATAAAAATGATAATGAAAGTAGTTTTGTAAACTTTTACACCGGCAATTAACGTCCTACAACAAACCTTTCTATTTACGTCCAATCGAGAAACTAATGGATTAACATTAAATCTTATCCTTACTTAAGCCTTACGTAAGTACTAAAATGTCTTTTTTCGACTGAAATTGCCTATGGAAAAGTTATAGGTACATCATGACTTTGAGTAAGTTTGATTAGAATATATTCGAATCCCAAAATAAATATTGCATGTTTGATCAAATAGATCACCCAAAGCCTTTATTTACTGATGAATCTATTAATTTCGATATTTGCCATTTATCGCATGAAGTAGCTGTTTTAAAGTTTCCATGAAATTTTGAATTGCTTCTTGAGATTAAACATGTTACTTAATAATAAAAAGTTTGGACGAATTACAAGTAAAAATATTGGCCTAACTTACTTTGGAACCACATTAACAACTTATTGCAACAGCTTTTATTGATTTACAACCGGATTTAGGGATCTTTTTTGATATATTAGTCACTTAACTGAGCTATCCATGTGAAGATGTCATAGCATAACAATTTCTCCACCAAAACTCCATCCCAGAAATAGGTACGACCAGGAGATAACTTATCAAGACGACGTGGTAATTTGTTTCGTTTGTACTTCCACCTATGCACCACCGAGGCAAAGAAAAGTTAGACCATTGTGGAAAATAATTTCTTCCTAACGTTTCGCAAAAACGAGTGGCTTGCATCTTCAGAGGAGGTTGCTGCGCTGAGCAAACCTCACCTGAAGAAGCGAAGCAACAGGAAGAAATATTTTTTTTCGACAGTCTAAAAGCTCGAAAAATGTTCCAGTTACAAGAAGTTTTGATATTCTATTCATGACTATGGCAATCTTCGAWTTTTTTTTCTKAATGCACACAAGTTTGTTCCCTTTTAATAAAATAGAAYAGGACAGATTCAGCAGTTTCTAATACGTTTAGCTAGATGTAATCACATCTAATGAAAATTTCATGTAGTTCTACAATAGTTAAAAGTAAAATACAGGGTTTTAAACAAACTTATTTATTAGTATAAGTAAGTACCTACTGAACTTGGCAAATATGAACTATATTATAAAGTTTAGACGGTAGTCAAAGTAAGTTAACACAATTTTTAAATGAATATATTGTTTATTTATAATAACGATTAGTAAAAAATGAAAAATTGTACATTTATTTTTTGCTTCGCACACTTTTTGAATCATCATTGCTTCCTGTTGAAGCAGTTCCAAACTTTCACATTAGCCATTTAACAATTTTAAAGAGCCCCGACCTTTAAMCTTGAAAKTTTTYCCATCAAGTATGCTCTAATAAATAACTAAGTAATAGGTATGCATTGATCTGGAGTAAATAATACACTATAATTCAAATGTAGGTACTTCAAATTCCAATACTTAACTCGTRGGAGAATTACAATGGTAAATTAATTGCTTAGTGCTTTTATCGATTTATTTCTTGATACAATTCAATGATAAATAATAAGTCAGCAAATAAAACAGGCATACACACGAAAACAAGGCGTTAGCTTAGGCAAAAACGTAGGCAATAAAAAAATCTAAGGCAGGAGAGCTGTGTACAGAATTTCGAGCAAAAACAAATAAAACACTGTCACTTTTTGTGTATAACATATTTTTACACCCTTGAAATACGCATTAAACTCCCAATAAGCCCTTTAAAATTATAAAGTAATTAAATCTGTTACTCACCTCACTCTGCCTGTTTTGAGTCTTCAACCTGGCTATAAGGTCCTTTTTCCATTGCGGTGTGTAATTTCCACTGTTTGTATTGATACTGTTTGAACTTACAGCAGCCATAGTCTACGCGACACTACACTACACTTGTGCACAGTTAAAAAATCTAATTATTAGTGGCCCAGGTAGGATGAGAATTAAGAAAACAGAGCAGTTAGAAAGAGCTTAGATCAATAAACATTTTAACACTTTTGATAGCAGGTTATCAGCTTTATCAGAACTATAGAAATGATATGGCGAATAACGAGATAAACTCCCTGTAAAGATCTTCAACACAATTGCTGTTATAAAATCATATTAATTAATGGAAACCTGCTAAAGCTTTCTCTATTACGTTAAAATCAGATCACTAAAACTATGTGTATGTTTTCCTACATTCGCTGAATACCAATTATTATTCAACATACCGATCAGTGGCCGAACTCGTATGTGATGCACGTGAAGACTAACACTAAACACTCGTTACATGAACCGAAAACTACATTCGAATTATCGAATTGTACCTCCAATTTCGTATGTAAATTTAATTGATTTTTTAAAAGCTAATCTGACAGTCGACATAAACAAACCACATACAAACAAACTGATCACGATCACATCAAAAATCAGGACCTGACAGATTCGGAGAGAAGAAATAATTACATGCTTTTTTCACAGAAAAATGCACATATTTTTTATTTTCAGTTTTTATTATCCAAAATCTTTGATTTTCTTTTAACGGTAATTTATTTTTGCTTTATTTTTGCTAATCTGCTTTACTTCTTCCATCCACAGCTACTGTCGTCCTCTTCTATTCCGGTATACTAGACGAAGAAATGATTATGTTTGAAATTGTAGGTTAACACCAGTTAACACTACTGCGTCTAAATTGAACCTAACCTCACGCTCAATTTTCTTAGCAAATGTACTAAGGTCAGAGTTAAGGTATCGATTAGCGATCTAAAAATAGTTAAAAATGAGTGATACTCGATTGAATGGCAACAGAAAAATGAGCGCCCCCGAAGGAAAATCGCCATTTCTGATTGGGGTAGCTGGTGGAACTGCTAGCGGCAAGGTAAGTGCATGTTTTCCCAAATGTTTTACCTCTCTATTCATGAATCTCACAATTAGAGCACGGTCTGCAAACGCATTATGGAGAAATTGGGGCAGGCCGAAATCGACAACAAGCAGAGACAAGTTGTCTGCATAGCCCAGGACAGTTTCTACCGAGATTTAACTCCCTCTGAAATCGCCAAGGCTGCCAAAGGTCAATTCAACTTTGATCATCCAGATGCTTTTGATGAAACCTTGATGAAGACCACATTGAATGATATATTGGCTGGAAAAATAGTTACCATTCCTACATACGACTACAAGAACCATGCTTTGTAAGTAACCACCTTTTACTCTATGTATAGCAATCATAGATATTCCAGCCTAATTCTATAAATAGTGCTGTATTTATTTAAATATACACATTTCAATAACACCCATTTGCTATTTCACACTAAAGATCAGCTGAACACCCTGAACGTTTTACGACACTGGAATTTAAATTCATACCTTTCACGGTTAGTTTTTTCGTATTCAGTTTCATATTTGTACGAAGTTCATAACTTTCCTCAATTGTGAGTTTTTCAAGTCAACATTCTATAGAAGTATATTGTTTGCATTCAGCGATTATTATTAGGAAGATAAAACGAAAACAAGCAAATTGATTTTTTTTATCACAGAAATAAAACAATACATGCACGTTGGCAGGAAAGAAAATCAGAAACTTTTAAAATCACAGTCGTGAACGTTAGCTTTATATTGTGAAATTGTTTGAAGTGTGAAAAAGAAGCGGTGCACCATGCAGAAAGCATATGGAAAATTTCAAGCATTAAGACTCAAATACTTATATTAAGGTTCGACTAGTCAGCCTCAGTTAACCAAAAAGAGATTACGGTATGTTTGCTTAAGTTGTTGCT